ATTATAAGATATTATTATATGTACAAATAAATAAATATAAATTCAAGTATATAGGGTATTATAAAGTAATATTGGATGATGTATAGTGATTAAATCTAGTATCATAATTATTTTAATAACGTAAATATAAGTATATAAAAGTGATTTTTTTTTATTTTTTTATATATTCTCTTCTTATTTTTATAATATTTAAAAAATTTTATAAAAGTAAACTAAATTTATAATATATATAATAAAATTTTTGTGATTTATATATATATTTTTTATTATAATAATTATTTACAGTATTAATATTTAATAATTATAAAAGTATGATGATATAAGTAAGTATTTTAATAAAAGATAAATAATGATAAAAATAAAATGATACAATATTAAACACTAGTCTTAAAGATTTTATTTCATTGTTAGTCAAAAACATCACACTAAGATTTATGTACATTAGTTGATATTTTGACAATTTTGTGTTTGTATATGGCCATAGTAGATGATCATAATGTAGTTAAGATTTAATAAATATTTATTTATACATATTTTTGTGTAATTATTTATCGATTATTAGACCATCCATGTATTACATAACTAATAATTGAAATAGTGACATGGAAAAGATATTTAGCCCAAAAAAAAAATTTAATTTTTTGTTTTTTTCTATGAACAACATTATCATATCCTTAAAGTCTCTGACCAAAATAAATCCTATTTTTACCCTCCAGAGACCAGAATTGAATTATCGACCCCTAGTTACTAGAATTATAAACCAAAACACGCCTACTCTAAGGCACTCCATATGTACTCTACTCAACGATTACACATATTTCTATCCACCAGAATAATTTTATTTTTTATTTTTACATTTTAAACAGTTTAAAACTTACCCTAACGTTAACACTTCTTTAACTTTTAAATATTTTTGTACTAACAGATGACCTTTAAACAGCTGTTTTTTTTTTAAATATAAATATGCCTAGTGATTGATAGTGAAAATAAATATTTACTTTGCATAGTTACGCCATAATCATTTGAACGCGTATAACCCACGACGCATATTGTAAAGTTTATTGCGTAATTTTAAACATCTGAACTTGTTCATATTCCAGTGTTTAACAGTGTGAAGAGATTGTAAGCTAAACTTACAAGAACCCAGATGAGGGTCCACCCTGGGCCGAGGCAGAGCCGGAGCACCAGGGATTTTGGTACCTTGTCCTAGGGGAAAAGGTCATTTATAAAATATGATTTAGAACAAGATTTGCCTTTGCACAAGATTAATACGTTGTTGTTCAGGACATTGATAAGTATCAAAATAATTTTGAACATATCGAAGAAACTGTTCAGGATGTATATCTTGGGCTTTGCCCGAAAATTCAGGGACCACTTGATGAAATTTCTCTACAGGTACAGAGTATATAGAACGATTAATATTAGATACAGGATTATTAGTGTCATTAAAAGAAGGATTTTGAGATAAATTAAGATAATTAATTTGGATTTCTGAGATGGTGGAATTTAACTGGACTAATTCTTAATTAATATTAATTTGTTTATCATTAAGTTCTTGTATGCTAGTAGCAATGGTTTCCCCTTTTTCTAAATTAGATTCTATAGAAGATAAGCATGACTGAATTTCAGCACATTCACCTTCCATATTTTGGACCCTTATATTTAAATTTATTGAGTCAGATTTTGATTCTTTAATAAATGATTCAATTTTATTAATTCGCTCTTCGAACTTTTCAAACTGTTTTTTAGTTTTTTGAGCATTTTGAGTAAATGTACTTAACAAATTTTTTAAGTTAAAGACATTTTCTTTGGTTCCTCATCAGGATTAGACTCAGCCATAGTAGGAGACCGTTTTAAAGAATCCCGTAATAATTGATTTTTAACTTTTATAATACCTAACCTTTCTGGAGGTTCGCTTTCCCTTTTCCCAGCACTATGCATACAAGTAACTAACAGATTTATTCAATGATAGAAGAATGTTAAATAATAAAACTTTTCCTCGAAGATTGTGACTAGTTCACAAACGTCTGGTTTGCTATTATTTAAATTTTTCTACCCAATGAAATAAATATGTAAGTGAAGCCTATTTAAAGGAAGGAAAAGAATTAAAGAATAATATAGAAAATATTATAATAATAATATATAATAAAAATATACACTTAAAAGTGATAATAGATCACTCAAAATTGAAGAGAGATGGAATACAATACTGTTGTTAATAAAACGATAATTGATAAGTAATATAGATAATATATAATAAGGATCATTTGGCTTGACCATTTAACACGGACACATACACAATCAACAAGGACTTGGACATCCATAACATAAATAAATTTTAAAAATGTAAGTGGTATATTTGTAATGTAATATTGAAACCAGTAATAAGGGAATAAGGCAAGGAAATTTGATTATCATGAGTATAGAGTGTTCGTCCAGCGGGTAAGGTTATGTTGGGCATGTCACTACCGTCAAATGTGGGGTCCCTTAAAGTAAAGGGTCCACATTTGAAGTATTCACCATGCCCACCTTACACACTCGAGAATACACTATCTCATGATAAAGGAAAGACAGGGAATGCTGTTTCAACATTACAGTTAAAAAATTATAAAAAATGAAAATTATACAGGAGTATTTTGATCAACAAATAGATTAAAATAAAATATGATCATTGATTAATAAAGAAAAATGTTCACAATCAATAAATAAAAACATCATGCAATATGAACATATTATAAAATTGGACCACTAGATTAAGAAGTAAAAGAGAGGAAAATTTTCATCAAGTGGTACCATCAAGGTTTTATTTAATAAAATACAACAATGGAATAATCAGTAACAGGTAAAATTAAAAAAAATGTTTCAGTTCAGGCCCTAACAATTTTATGTAATATTAACCTAATCAAAACATATTGACACATACCTAGTACTTTAAAACGGATACTTAGACACAACCTGGAGATTGAATTTAAAACCATAGACTTAAGAGAGATTATATTATGTAACCTAATTAATAGTGTGAGTAATGTTATATCATGATAAAGGTGAGCCCCTAAAAAGAATTAAATAAATTATATACATTGAATTATATACAACAAGACAACAAAAATACAACTATACTGGGTAAATACCACAGTTCAAGAAAGTTATGTAGTCACAACTGACTTAAATAAGAAATATTTGGCTACCCAAATTAATGATTCAATCATAATACAATAGTGTATACAAACACCAGAGAAAATAAGTTAAAAGACATGATCAAAGATCAAGCTCATGAAAAATAAATAAGAAATCGGCATACCAACCCCCCAAATAAACATTACACACACATATTTATTGGAACATCAACATAATGCGTCAAATGCAGTAAAAGACTCAAACCAAACCATATGAAATAAATATACCAGGAGCTATCCATTATAAGGAGCATATTACCACTATAATACCAGAGAATTACTATTTAAATATGAATTTATAAGAAATCAGAGATTATAAGAGAATTTAATTAATAGGGAGCATGAGCATGACAGATCCAACGCATGCATCAGGGTAANGACAGATCCAACGCATGCGTCAGGGTAAAGTGGACATGTCACTAACGTCAATGGGTATCCTCTACATAAATGCAGAGGACCCAATGAGTTGTTCACCATGTCCACCCTGACCGCATTGAGGATACTGTCAGCTC